TATATATATATTATATGCGTGTGTGTGTTGTGTTTGTCTATGTGTGTGTCTATGTGTGTGTGTGTGTCTATGTCTGTGTGTCTGTGTGTGTGTCTATATGTGTGTGTGTTTGTGTTTTTCTATGTGTGTGTGTCTGTGTGTGAGTCTATGTGTGTGTGTGTGTGTGTGTGTCTGTTGGGGGCGGGGGTATATGCCTGTGTGTATTTATGTGTGTCTGTGTGTTTGTCTATGTGTGTGTGTCTTTGTGTGCGTGTCTGTGTGTGTGTCTATGTGTGTGTGTCTGTGTGTGTGTCTATGTGTGTGTGTGTGTGTGTGTGTCTGTTGGGGGGGGGGGTATATGCCTGTGTGTATCTACGTGTGTCTGTGTGTATGTTTGTGTGTGTCTGCGTCTGTGTGTTCGTTCATCTCTCAGAATGTGAGTTATATATTATGTTTTCCATGCGTGCATGAGTGTGGGTGGTTGGAGGATGTCACTGGTAGGTCCTGCTTCTTTCTCTCTGCTGTTTCTACCACTCTGTCATAACAAAAATGATAATAATAATTGTATAACAATAATATATTAACAAGGATAATAAATTAACAGTGAGTATAGTAATCATCATCATCATCATCATCATCATCATCATCATCATCATCATCTTCATCATCATCATCATCATCATCACCTCAACTCTTCATCACCAGTCTGTATAACAGTATTAGATGGAACTACTTGCACATCTTAAAACATCACATGATGGGTTGAAATAACATGGCCGTCTTGTCTACCCGACTCCAACAGTTAATAAACCAAGAGGAGATGGAAGTTAGGGGATTGTGGGCATAATGTGATAGACAGACAGACAGACAGACAGACAGACAGACAGACAGACAGACAGACAGACAGACAGACAGACAGACAGACAGACTGACAAACAGACATACAGATAGACAGACTGACAGACAGACATACAGATAAATAGATAGACTCTTCTAAAAAAGAAACTTGACACTCACTTTTAAAACGTTTTACTACAGCGAACAAAGTAAAAAGAACACAATAAGGCAATGTTCTGACAGATGATAACTCGTACACACGTTCAAAACCTTGGTCCCGGTGAACAAACCGAATGTCCTGCACCAGCTTGTCAACAGAATGGGGTACACGAAAAGTCAGTACCAGGTGTGAGCACAATTTGGTTTGATCACTGCTCGGTATCGGGCACCCATTGATGCCATCAAGTTTGCCATAACATGTTGTGGGATGGTCTATCTCTCTCGCTGGAGAGCCACAAGGAGCTCTGGTAGTGTCTGAGGTGGCGGATTCCTCTGCCACACACGTCGATCCAACTCGTCCCCGAAGTGTTCGATTGGAGACAAATCCGATGAGTGGGCAGGCCATGGTAGAGTAGGAATGGTTTTGGCACACAGGAAGTCCTCACATAGCCGTACAACTTGCGGACGGGCGTTGTCCTGCTGCAAAATGCCAGCATTGGCGTTCAGGTATACATGGAACAACATGAGGCTGCAGGATCTCCTCCCTGTACCTGTCACCCGCCACTCTGTGCTGGCACCACTGGAGACGTCAGGATCTCCTCCCTGTACCCATCACCCGCCACTTTATGCTGGCTCTGTGCTGGCACCACTGGAGACGTCAGGGTCTCATCCCTGTATCTGTCACCGATCACTCTGTGCTGGCATCACTGGAGACGTCAGGGTCTCATCCCTGTACCCATCACCCGTTACTCTATGCTGGCTCTGTGCTGGCACCACTGGAGACGTCAGGATCTCATCCCTGTACCCGTCACCCGCCACTCTATGCTGGCACCACTGGAGACGTCAGGATCTCCTCCCTGTACCTGTCACCCGCCACTCCGTGCTGGCACCACTGGAGACGTCAGGATCTCCCCCCTGTACCCATCACCCGCCACTCTATGCTGGCTCTGTGCTGGCACCACTGGAGACGTCAGGGTCTCATCCCTGTACCTGTCACCGATCACTCTGTGCTGGCACTACTGGAGACGTTGTGTCACGTGGTGTGTGGTCAGGGGTGAAGGCTGACTTGTTTGACAGGGTATTCAAAGTGAAATGGAACCAGATAGGGCCTGGAGATATCACACTCACACAAGTCACAAGAATCTTACTGGCACTGGAGGCGGCAACTCTGAGTTGTGAATGAAAACAAATCCTGAATTCATGTTGTATGCTTGTTCAACCACTAAAATAATCGGGAAATTATTTCATTAAATATTTATTCTAACTAACCTTAAATTTAACTTTAGATTTGAACACACGAACACCAAGGAAAGAAGCAGAGATGTCAGCACTACAATGGCATGTTATACCAGACAGCCGAAACACTTTGGTAGAGCATGCCAATTATTAATTTTTTATTTCACATTTGGCTGTTTTTTGTCTAGCTTTTCGTGGCCAGGAGCCGGTGTCATAATCGAGGTCACGATCTGATTATAGGACGTTAAAAAGTCGAGGAAAAAAAACAAGCACTTGCAGTGTAGTAGCAGGAGTCAAAGGATTATGCTGTTGAGCGGGGAAATGCACTATACAAATGCTATCTATTATTATTATTATTATTGTCTCCATAACGCAGCAAATGGTCTGTCTAGACACGCCAAAGTGCCTTGCCACGGCTTGCTGAGTTACCCCTCCTATCAAACGTCTATCGTCCTTATCTCCCCTCCTTTTTGTGTTTGCTACTCTCTTGAAACACCTATTCTTCGGCATTTATATGACCTAATTGTGTTGCAAGTGCCGTAAAACACTTACTAAGACTAAAACTAACTGAGTTACCCTTACTTCCTATCATCTGATTGCATTATTGCGTTCAGCATCTGCCAATCTCGGCATTTTCCAGCTGTGTACGGTTGTGTCACATGGACTGTGTGAGTCACATGGACTGTGTGAGTCACATGGACTGTGTGAGTCACATGGACTGTGTGAGTCACATGGCCTGTGTGGGTCACATGGACTGTGTGGGTCACATGGACTGTGTGTGTCACATGGACTGTGTGAGTCACATGGACTGTGTGAACTGTGGTTGTTGTGCCTTTTGTACATCCGTGAGGGAGGTTACTGCCCCTGCTGGTGGGGGGGGGGGGCATAGTTTTACTATGGGGGAGTAAAGAAATCACCTGTCGTGATACTGAGTGTCGTTAGAGGCGACTAAAAGTGCATAGGTCTGGTCGCCCGAAAAGTGCCAGTTTGCGGAGGGCCAACTACCCGACCCAGTAAAAACAGTAAGTTACAGAAACACGGACAAACACAACTTTTTATTTTTCGATCGTGGGAGACGGAGGAGCTTCTGCATCAGCAGGAACAATGAAGGATAGCGGACAAAGCCGAATCGATGTACAGAAAAGTGGGACGACATGGAATAACATCAAGAGGCTAGCTCAGGATAGAGAAAGGTGGAAGGTGTTTGTCCGTGGACTATACCATGGTGCAGGATGAGAAAGGCAATGATGATGATGATGAGGGAGGTAACAGAATGCTGAAGTACCGTCCACTACTTTGCACAAGAAAGTGGTCACGGTCGCCATTATGGACTAAGTAAAAGCTCGCCTATACGGACGTCTTGATGTGCACTGCACGTGATTGTTGGTGATTTGTCGACAACACGTGATCCTTTACAAAACTCTGTCACTAACATTTACTTTTTTGTTTTGCGTATCCTGATATTCAAAATTTACCAAGTGTCAAGTTTCTTTTTTTTTAAAGAGTATAGATAGATAGACAGAAGTCAGGGGTTGTGTGGACGTAATGTGGTAGATAGACAGAAGCGGGGGAGTTGTATGGACAAGGACATAATGTCACGTGATCGTCCACTAGACCTGGGGAGCCAAACTCGCCGAGGGAACCTCACAACAACACAGACAGAATCGGGCGGGAACATCACGGCACAGACTGGATCGGGAGGTGCAAAACTCTGGTCGACGAGACGGCGGGCAGCCATGTCGTCTCCAAACACAGACACTCTGGGCCTCGCCACTGGTCAGTTGGTCAGGTGTCGTCTATCAGTGAGGGTGGTCGGAGGATGTCCGTGTGGGTGGTTGGAGGCTGTCATTGAAGTGAACCACCCGTGAACTCAAAGCTGCTGTATATGCTGGGGTAACTTGGCTCTTTGACGAGACCATCATTTGGCTCTTGGGGATTTCCAAAGAAAACATTTGTTAGCGGATTTCCCCTGTAAACATTTGTCAGCTTGTTTTCTGAAAACATTTGATAGCCTATTTCCCATGTAAACATTTGATAGCCTATTTCCCATGTAAACATTTGATAGCCTATTTCCCATGTAAACATTTGATAGCCTATTTCCCATGTAAACATTTGATAGCTTATTTCCCATGTAAACATTTGATAGCTAATGTCCTGAAACTGAAAGCATTCGATAGCCTATTTCCCCTGAAATCTGGAAACGTTTGAGGGGTCATTTTCCTTCTCCCTGAAAATATATGAGAGGTCATTTGCTTATTGAAAACTTTTTCATCATTTTCCTGTTGGAAGGAAGGCTCATGCTTCATTCTGCACTTTGACAGAATTATTTTTTTAAATACCCACGTCTTTTCGAGCAACATTTTTGCAAAACCAGTCTCAAGTTGGACAATACCAATTTACAATGAAACAAAAGACGCCTGTACTTACATGTGGGGAGTCACATGATTGTACCCCCCCCCCCCCCCCCCCCGTCTACTGGGTGTTTGACATGGGAGGAGCTACTTAAGAGAGTGGGGAAATGTTGGATGGTGTTGTTCCACCCAATCGGATCCGATCCTGCAGAGCCAAGTTTTCCAACCAGTGTGCACTGAGCTTCACCTACACTGCACCTCCCGCTCTGTGCTCTCTGTGTCGTTGATGTGTCATTGATGTGTTTCTCCGGTGATGTGTAGCACTGAGCGTGGCTGGAGTGAGCAGCGCTTCCACAGTGCAGCTTTCCGCTTATCATTTTGCTCCTACAGGTCGCCATCTTTGTGTAAATTTGTCGCTTTCAAGCACACAAGGGGGCTAACTTGAAATAAGCTGTTTTGAGAAAATCGAAGGTAAAATTTTTGCCCCTTGTTCAGTTTCTTTAAAAGACTAGAAGAGTTTTTTCTATATCCAAACAAATATACACACCAATGAAACCAAACTTCTCCTATAGGTAGGGCAATGCCCACTTTTGGTGTAGGTCAAGATTTCTGGAAACCCCCAAAATCTGGGTTAGCCCGCTTGTCCTTAAAAGCGACTATTTAATAATTTGAGCGTAAACTGTGCCAGTGTTCTTCCGTACGTTTTATTTTACGCGCGAAAACTCTTTGTGTTTGTCTGTGGGTGGTTGGTGGGTGCCCTGCTTCTTTCCTACCAAATCTGACGTCCTTCTCCTCTTTTTTTGTTATTTCTTTGTTTGCTACTGTCTAGTCGCATGATCTCCTCCTCTTTTGTTATTTCTTTGTTTGTTACTGTCTAGTCGCATGATCTCCTCCTCGACACTTATATGATGGCCTATTTGTGTTTCCAGTGCCGTAAAACTTTCACTAACTCTAGTCTTTTAGTTTCCATTTCATTCCTTTTCTAACACTTACAGTTATTACGTTCGCTTTGTGGTGTGTACATATCTGGTGTGCGTGTGTGTGTGTGTGTGTGTGTGTGTGTGTGTGTGTGTGTGTGTGTGTGTGTACACGTGTGTGTACGTGTGTCAGTGTTTGTGCGTGTGTGTGTATGTGTGTGTGTGTGTGTGTGTGTGTGTGTGTGTGTACATATACGTGTGTGTGGTTGTGTGTGGGTATATATTCTACTAATATGTGTATGTGTATTTATGTATACATAATAAATATGCTTTAGTATATTCTATTCTACGTGTGTTGGCACATATCTAACCACCACGTGTGTCTGTGTATGTGTGCGTGCGAGTGTGTGTGTATCTTTTTTCTTATGCCTGGGGATATATTCTACATGTGTGTGCACATTTGTGTGTACGTGTGTTTGCACATATCTAACCACCTTGTGTGTCTCTCTCTGTGTCTTTGTGTGTCCGTGCACAGCTCCACAGAGCAGTCGGACGACAACGACGACTACACCCTCACCAACAACAACAACAGCAACAACAACAACAAAAACTACAGTTACTACTACTACAGCAACCGCAACACTGTCTTCATCAACGGCGGCAGCAGCAACAACAACAACAACACCTCCACCAGCGGACACAACAACCTGTCACCGTCTGCTGTCAGCGCGAGTCAGGGCAACCTCTTGGATTACCTCCCCGTGACGGCCAGAAGAAACCCGTACCAACAGTTGGACCCCCTGGCCCCCCGCCCCTCCCCCCTGGCCCCCCGCCCCTCCTCCTCCTCCCTGCCCCTTCCCCGACACGCCCACCTCTCACACAGCGCTGCCATACCCCCCGTGCCTCACACAACAACAACAGCAGCAGCAGCAACAACCGTGTCCTCATCATCAACAACCACCACAGCGTCTACAACTACATCTACTTCATCTCCCGGCGTCTCCTCTACCCCTGCACTGACACCCGCCACACACCCACCCCTGGCCCCCCACACCGGTCACTTCCTCCTTCACGGTCACCCCCTGTCCACCTCTCAGATGTCCACCTCTCAAATGTCTGGCTCCACCCCCTCTCTGTCCGTCCCTCTCTTCCCCTCCGCCTCTGTACCCATCACTAACTCCCTCACTCAGCCTCACTTGTCGCAGGCTTCCAACTCCTCCCCTTCTGCCTTAAACCCACCCACCAACAGCTTGAACAGCCTCCACACACCCACCAACAGCCTCCACACACCCATCCATATAGCTTCGGCTGTCTCCCTCTCGGGTCTGGACTCTGTGCCAAAAGTCGGAGAAGCTCCGCGCAGCCTGACGTCGCGTGTGGCCGGGAAAAGAGACGACTCTGCCGCCATTCTGCGACATTTACGAGATCTGAGCTCCCTAGCCGCCCCGCCCTCACTCCGCAATGACGGCCAGAGATACAACAAGACCCCAGTGGTGGGCACGGTGAAGAATTCGCTCTACACGCCCGCTGGAAGCGTGGTGGCGCTCAGGGAAACATCCGTGGAGGGCCGAGACGGAAGTGGGGACTACCGCAACGACCTCAGCAAACTGCGCAGTTTGAGTGGTAACAATGGCAACCTTAGCAAGCCACAGCACGTGGGGCAGCTGGTGAACCAACTGACGCAGAACCTGTCAGGGAACAACAACAACCTCCCCGGGGTCACAAAGCGACATCTGCGATACAAGTACGCCTGTGCTCAGTGTCTCCCAAACGGCGGCCATCTTGACCTACTTAGATATTACACGGGGTGTTCATTGGGGATCGGGTCTGGTCGGGGCGGTTTGCTAGCCAGATTGAGGGTGCAAAGCGGCTATCATGGCACAGGCCGGTCACGCCCGACTCCCCGACTCAAAACCAAACGCATTTGTTTTCAGGCAACGAGTGGGGCGATCGCACCCGACCCGACTCGACCTGATCCCATCCACAATGGGCGCTCCGTATTAGCGTAGTCAAAGGTGTTCCTTCCTCCCCCGTACAATGCCACGTACATGACCAAAATTGAGTCGATAGTGATCTAAAACACCTACTCAATCAATCCACCCCCTGTACCCAGACAACTTTGTTCCCCAAGCTTTGAGCCTCACAAACGTCCCTATATCTGCACTCTTATTTAACTTGTATAGAGAAAACAAAACACGAAACTGAGTAGAAATGAATGATCCGAGCAGTTTAACATACAGTTTGATAACCAGAATTTACTGAGGTTTCGGTACAGTTTTGTTTCAACAGTAAACAACCAATAGATATCGTGAACCAGCCGGACCGGCGCGCCGTAGACTGAGAGTTGAAGTGACACAGCGCCGTTACTTAGTCCACTTTTCGTTGGTTTGGTTTTCTTTTTTAACTTTCAAAATCGCTTGTATTGGATGAAGAGACACGGGGCTCTTACCTTGTCATTTTTTCATTTTTGAAATTGTTACTGTCCTTGGACAAGGGTAATCACTTGTGTAGAAAAGTTTCGCATCCCGAGTTTATTCAGAAAAGCTAACAGATTTCTTTTTCTTTTACACCCAAAGATAAGGATAGGGAGAGGTGTGTTTGACATTGTTTGACAGGAAGGAAGTAGCGAACCTAAGTAATTAATTAGTGTTGATGAGAACGTAAAACGTATATCTATATAATGACTGTTCCAAAGTGTCTCTTTGACCTACTTTCTAGAGGTCAGACAGGAGAAGGTCACATGAGCAAATTGCCAGTGAGTTGAGCTGTTGATCCCTCTCAACTGTGGGAAAAACACTCTCTCAAAAATTCACAATTGTCACCACAGTGAGGTAATGGTGCCACACCAATAGTCCAGTGACATATAACTAGGACAATCTTTATTCATCTAGCCGAGAGAAATTTGTCTTGGTCGTTTACAATAGCATATATCAGTGGCTATAGATAGACAGATAAAAAGATCGACAGATAGATCAATAGATGGATAGATAGACAGGTTAGGTTAGATACGTAACAACAGCTACCTTCTTGGCGATACCCCCAACCTCTGTGCTGCTGTAGTGGTTAGGCGCTTCGCTGTTTCGTGCGGGACACCCGAGTTCGATTCCCGAGTGGGAAGAATCTCGATGAAGTATCTCGCGACGGTCCGTCTGCTGGGATGTTGTATCCCCCTCACTCGGGTTATCCCTGACAGACAGGGTCGGAAGCCCGCCTTGTAAATGTACTAAGTATTGTCGAGGAGGGTGTAAAAACACATACTGTTAAAACATGGAATTTTTCCACTATTGGTGACGGTAGACAAAAGTCTCAACGTTTTCTGATCTCCGGCGGGCCAGGTTTGGGAGACACTGTAGGTAAACGTGTCCGTGTTGTTTGTGTGTGTGTGTGTGTGTGTGTGTGTGTGTGTGTGTGTGTGTGTGTGTGTGTGTCGGGGGGGGAGGGGTGTCAGTGACTGATAGATAGATAGATAGATAGATAGATAGATAGATAGATAGATAGATAGATAGATAGATAGATAGATAGATAGATAGATAGATAGATAGATAGATAGACGAATAGATTGTTAGATTTATGGATCAATTGATAGATAGTTTGGTCTATCAGACAATCTGTCTTATACAAACCATTTTATAATATTTCATAATCGGCCTCATGTCGCTGGTTTGTAAGAAATCAACTTCCTATATACCAAAGATACGATGCATATATTATACCAAGGCCTGAGATTTTCTCAAGACATTCATGGCACAAAATTCCGTGTTTTAGGAATCAAGTCTTAGTAGACAGTGTGCAGATGCTCATGTGTGAGCACCTCCTTTCGTCACCATTGTTTGTATAACGAGCACACGTGTCTGAACTAAACACCACACACTGCACACATGTGTGATCTCTGCTGTGTTGAGCACACATGTGTGATCTGCTCTGCTGTGTTGAGCACACATGTGTGTTCTCTGCTGTGTTGAGCACACATGTGTGATCTCTGCTGTGTTGAGCACAAACCTCCAAGTCGTGACCTTGATGTTACCGTGACATGTGATACGAATTTGTGGCGTCTTTATTTATAATAGAATCTTTTAGGTATATTTTGTTATCTAGTTAAGTATACAGTTTGTCAGAATGTTACTGTGTGTCAATTTCCTATCTTGTGTGTTGTATACTTTAACTTTTATTATTGATATATATATATTTAGCGCGGCTTTCTGAATATATGCTCAAACACCGGGAAGGGACGAATATGTGTGCCATCTGATTATAATAACAAAATATTACATACATAATAATAATATGTATTTACAATTTACATTAGCTCCATACCCATATTAACATACTCTCTCAGCCTGTTGCTGTAAGACTTCCCACCTGTTCCCGGCTCTTGTCTCAACGTTCACATCAACGCTATCTCTCTCCTTCTTCTATACACACCTTCAATTACTACAACTATACAGGATCTTTTTAAAGTCTAATTAATTTGTTGTCATATTTTGTTATCGTTGGTTTCTGTCTGTTTGTGGTTGTTTTTTAAGGCGGGGGGGGGGATTGTTTTGTTTTGTTGTCTCAGTCCATCTATATCTCTGTCTATTTCTCTGTCCATCTATATATCTGTCTATTTTTCTGTCCATCTATATCTCTGTCTATTTCTCTGTCCATCTATATCTCTGTCTATTTCTCTGTCCATCTATATCTCTGTCTGTTTCTCTGTCTATCTATATCTCTGTCTATATCTCTGTCCATCTCTATATCTCTGTTTGTTTCTCTGTCCATCTATATCTCTGTCCATCTATATCTCTGTCTATTTCTCTGTCCATCTATATCTCTGTCTATTTCTCTGTCCATCTATATCTCTGCCCATCTCTATATCTCTGTCTGTTTCTCTGTCCATCTATATCTCTGTCCATCTATATCTCTGTCTATTTCTCTGTCCATCTATATCTCTGTCTATTTCTCTGTCCATCTATATCTCTGTCCATCTATATCTCTGTCCATCTATATCTCTGTCCATCTATATCCTTGTCCATCTATTTATCTGTCCATCTATTTCTCTGTCCATCTATATCTCTGTCCATCTATATCTCTGTCTATTTCTCTGTCCATCTATATCTCTGTCTATTTCTCTGCCCATCTATTTCTCTGTCCATCTATTTCTCTGTCCATCTATTTCTCTGCCCATCTATATCTCTGTCCATCTATATCTCTGTTTATTTCTCTGTCCATCTATATCTATGTCTATATCTCTGTCCATCTATATCCTTGTCGATCTATTTATCTGTCCATCTATTTCTCTGTCCATCTATATCTCTGTCCATCTATTTCTCTGTCCATCTATTTCTCTGTCCATCGATATCTCTGTCCATCTATATCTCTGTCCATCTATATCTCTGTCTATTTCTCTGTCCATCTATATCTCTGTCTATTTCTCTGTCCATCTATATCTCTGTCCATCTATATCTCTGTCCATCTATATCTCTGTCTATTTTTCTGTCCATCTCTATATCTCTGTCTATTTCTCTGTCCATCTATTTCTCTGTCCATCTATATCTCTGTCCATCTATATCTCTGTCTATTTCTCTTTCCATCTATATCTCTGTCCATCTATTTCTCTGTCCATCTATATCTCTGTCCATCTATATCTCTGTCCATCTATATCTCTGTCTATATCTCTGTCCATCTATATCTCTGTCTATATCTCTGTCCATCTATATCTCTGTCTATATCTCTGTCCATCTATATCTCTGTCCATCTATATTTCTGTCAATATCTCTGTCCATCTCTATATCTCTGTCTATTTCTCTGTCCATCTATATCTCTGTCCATCTATTTCTCTGTCCATCTATATCTCTGTCCATCTATTTCTCTGCTAATCTATATCTCTGTCCATCTATATCTCTGTCTATTTCTCTGTCCATCTATTTCTCTGTCCATCTATATCTCTGTCCATCTATATCTCTGTCTGTTTCTCTGTCCATCTATTTCTCTGTCCATCTATATCTCTGTCCATCTATATCTCTGTCTATTTCTCTGTCCATCTATATCTCTGTCCATCTATTTCTCTGTTTATTTCTCTGTCCATCTATTTCTCTGTCCATCTATGTCTCTGTCCATCTATATCTCTGTCTGTTTCTCTGTCCGTCTATATCTCTGTCCATCTATTTCTCTGTCTATTTCTCTGTCCATCTATATCTCTGTCCATCTATTTCTCTGTCTATTTCTCTGTCCATCTATATCTCTGTCTGTTTCTCTGTCCGTCTATATCTCTGTCCATCTATTTCTCTGTCTATTTCTCTGTCCATCTATTTCTCTGTCCATCTATATCTCTGTCTATATCTCTGTCCATCTATATCTCTGTCCATCTATATCTCTGTCCATCTATTTCTCTGTCTATTTCTCTCTCTTGAATTTATCGAATGGTGTCTGAGGAAGATAGGGTGCTCCATGCTTCCTCGCCCCTCTTCATAAGGGTTCATTTCAGTTATCTGTCTATATCTCTGTCCATCTATATCTCTGTCAATCTATATCTCTGTCCATCTATATCTCTGTCAATCTATATCTCTGTCCATCTATATCTCTGTCTATATCTCTGTCCATCTATATCTCTGTCTGTTTCTCTGTCCATCTATATCTCTATTTTTACGTCCCTGTATGTTTCCACTACCAGAAGTTCCCACCTCTGCTCTAAGTCTATATCTGTGTGTAGTATATATCTCTCTATATATCCCCTCTCTCCTCCCCCCCCCCCCCCCAAGGAGTTCCCACCTGCGGTACAT